CCTATTTCTAAAGTTTATTCTTTTTCATTTTTAAGAACAATAATAATAATAATAATAATAATAATAATAATAATAATAATAATAATAATAATAATAATAATGATAATGATGATGATGATGATGATCATAATAATAATAATAATATTAATAATAATAATAATAATAATAATAATAATAATAATAATAATAATTCTTGATGAGATCTGATTTTAATAAGTCCTGATCTGATCTGATCTGATTGGATCTGATCTGATTCGATCTGATCTGATCTGATCTGATTCGATCTGATCTGATCTGATCTGATTTTAATAAGAATAAGAAAAAATAAGAAAAAATAAGTTGAACGGAACGGGGCCTAAGTCATAAAAGGGGAATTCGAGATTTTATGATATTACTCTTGGGTTTAACAATTACCTATGATGCTTTTATACTCTAGCTACTCAATTGGTCCAAAGAGAGGATATCAAGCATGTTGGTTCTAGGGTCGAGTCCCAACAGTGATAGTGTGGGAGTTTTATTGATTGTAATAGCTCCTTGTGTGCACCGGGTATGGGGTAGCCTCTCTAAAGACCTTATTGAGATTATAATATGATTTACTTCTCTCACAGTCCTATCAGGTCGGGGTGTGGGGGCACCCGGGGTGGCGTTCCACTTTTTTTATACTCTAGCTATTCTAGTGAGCCCTACGGGGCAACAGATCTATATGAGAAATATGGATATACATTTGTTTTTATTGATTTATATATGTGAGAATGTGTATTTTAGGGTCATGATATAAGCACTTTTATAAGCACTCAGTGAGAGCTCTTCTATTATTAGGTGTTGGCATTAGTGAAATTATTTACCTTCTTGGGTAATTAAAAAAAGTAGCTATTGGTGAAGAGTGATTAGTGTGAAAATGGCCCTAGTTGAACATTATATTTCTAAAGCAATTGCCTGCTATTATGACTTTTTTTTACCACTACACATTTACCACGGAGTATTTTTCTACCGTTCTTTGCCTTATTTTTGGGTTGTAACTTGTAATTACTCAAAATTGTGGGTCCTGTGAGCAAATAAGGGGTTTTATTTACCCAGAGTGAGGCAAATGGCAATTGGATTCACTCACATTCATAAATAACTTTTTGGTCGATCTTTTTTGGTACATTATGTACTCCGAATTTTTTTCTCATCCCATTCTAGCATCTTTAATGCAACGATTTGACCACTAATATATCCATCTATTTATATGTGTATATGTCAAAATTATGTTTCAAAATTAAATTACAAATATTGAATTTATACAGAGTATAATAATATAATGTATTTTCCCAACATTTTGTTTAAAGATTAATAACGTTGACCGATATAGAGTACCGTATTTTTTACAGTCTTCTAACTCTGGTCACTTTTATATCACCAAAATAGTTCGTTTAATATAGCTCAATTGGTCAATAAAAGTGCAAAAGAGTGTTGTGGCTGGAGTCAACGAGTCTTAAATTAAAATTTTATTTACCTTCTTTCACATATAATTGTCAGGGTCATAAGTTCATTTTTCTTTTAATCACCAAAATTAAGAAATAATGTTGTAGTGGGGTTCGATCCACGCTCACACGAGTGTTTGTGGAACAAATAATGATGATATATGGACCCATAAGTGCATGTGTATCATGTGTAGAACCAAAATCATGGTTACTTTTGAGTCTTAGAAACTTGTCTTGTACCTCTTGAAGGTGTTCTAACATATGCTACTTCCTTGTTACAAATTAGGTTGTATGGATACCATTTTTAATAAAATGAAACATGCGTGATTGACATTAATGTAGAGGAAAGGGGTACTCTGAAACAAATCAAACAATGTATTGGTTTTTCATATAAATATATGCAAAAGATTTTGAATTGATGTAAAAGAAAAACAGATAATTCAAATTGGAATACGTAGAGTGGTACTCTCGTGTTGCATGTAGTTGTCAAAGAAATACTATGGAGAATAAATTATCCGTCTGACTTTAAAAAAAATGTCAAATTTTGGAAAAATAAAATCATTTATTTATTTTTTTCTTTCATTTATACTCCTATTGGTACTTGTGCATTTATAATTGGTAGTCATCAAATTTTTTTCATGTCATCATTTGTTGAGGTATTCAATAATCAAATTCTAAGTTGCGATAAATTGTACTTTTTGGTCGATTTTTTCATAAAATAACTTTTTGGTGGATTTTTTCAGTCTACAATGTTTGGTTAAAGCTACTCTCAAATCATTTCATATAAAAAGTGGTGTATAATTTAAAAAATTACATATTTAAATACTACATCAAAAGATCTACAAAAATATTGGTAACATAACTATATTATTTGATCAAATGACTAATGAAAATAGGAAAAGAAAATGACTAAAATTTGACCATGTGAATAATAAATAAACAATTTAATTTGAGACAGGCAAAGTATTTTTTTATAAATGAAAATATGCACAACAACTTGACATAGATTTTTTTAACGCATATTTATTAAACCAAATTGGTGGGTGGAGTACAAAAAAATGTCTACATGTTCTGTGACATTTATTTGGCATTGACGAGACATATCCACCTACTAGTTAGTGTACTACTACTGATATATATGTTGTCAATGCAACCAAATAATCAAATAAAATGTGTGTTTATGTTAGCAGGATCTAATTAAGTTTTGGTATTATTGGGTGATTTGGGTCTGCTAGTTAGCTTGTAATTAGGCCAGAGTTACATTTGTATGGATAAGGTGTTTGTGATCAATGTATTTGTCTATTTTTGACTTTCTAAAATTAATCATATTTCAAGTTTTGACCTATAATTAAATAAAATTTATATGTTATATTAATTCGATAACATAATATTTTAAAAGTATTTCATAAAACAAATTTAATAAAATTATTTTTGTATCAATTACAATGTCAATTTTATTTGATTAATAGATAAAGTGCGTCAGTTTATACTGTAAAAAGTCAAAACTATACAGGAGCTCACGGATGTGTCAATTTTATTTTTATTCAACCCCTTTCACTCTTTTTCAATTTTTCCCATATTTTTTTCAACTTCTAGTTTTTCTAACTCATTCAAAAAAAATCAATTTTTTTATAATTTTATCTAACTTTTTTTTAGTTTCTTTCATTATTCAAATATATTTTTCCAATCCAAAAAAACATGTTCGTAGTCGAGAAACTAGATTATAATAAAACATTATGGTGAGGAGAAATTATTTCTGATGAATTAGTCATGCCTCTCGGAAGTCCTCTTTTTGAACAATAAAGGAATAACAAAAAGGGGTTCACCTTTGGAATATATTCTCACCCTAATAACGAATCCATTTAAAACGGGAGATAATTTTTTATATAGAAAACTTTTGTAAAGAACCTGTAAAAATTGACTTTTTCCTATCAATTAAATAATAATTTTTTTAAAAGACCCATTATTATTATTATTATTATTATTAGTATTATTATTATTATTATTATTATTATTATTATTAATTTAGTGGAGGCAGTACTACACCATTTTGATCAAAATTATAACGAAATTTTCATTAAACCAATAAACCCTTTGTCCTTGTACGTCTAATCATCTTTTCCTTTTCATGTAACCAAGTGATCAACAAATTGGCTCAAATATTAAAATCAAAAAAATAAACTCATAAATTCCAAAAAAAAAGCACAAGTACAAAATTTGCAAAAGACTAAATTTTCTAAGGTGGTTTGCCTTTTTTTTTAAATAATTTAGTTATTCCTTTTTGCAAGATAAATGTGTATGAATAGAAAGACATAAAAAAGGTGGAAAGTGATAAATTCTCTCAATCTTTTTTCAACTATGCTAGGGTAGTGTACCCAAATTGTGCTCTAAATTGATATACTAACATTTTAACGATTCATACTGATACAAAATATCAGTTCAATTAAAAAAATTATGCTAATATTTTGTGTTATTATAAATAATCATACTAATAACATTATAAAAATATAAAATGTTAGTACATGCATTCACCATACATGTATAAATTGAGATACAATTTTTGGGTACTCATATAATTCATTTTTTTTCTTAAGGAAGAAGGATCCAGCCACATAAAGCTATAGAAGAAGTTGACGAAAGAAAGAATGAAAAAGTGGGGTTAGGGTTCAACAAATATGCTTAAATTTCTCCCTTTTTACACCTTTATTTCTGTATTTTATTTTTAAATCTCAAAGAGTTGCTTTTACAAAAAAAATTAATTGAAATTTACGTGCTTTTACAATGATTTTTTTGCAACATTTTAGGTCAACAATAATTAATCTCAAACATCATCGAACAGCATGAAATGGGATTCATTAAAAAAATTAATACTCGGGTTACTTGGTATAGTACTGTGATCAAAGGAGAAATATACATCATGATCAAACGAAAATTAATAATAAAAAAATCAAAATAGGATCTCAATATTTTTATATTCAAAATAGTAGTTCACAATGTGACAATGTAACACTAAATAACACTTAAACCGTTTTAATTTCTAAATAGCACTTAATATATATATCCATAATGTTCAGTGATAGCTAACATTTACTTATATAATGACTAATGAATAATGACTAAAAGTGCTACATTAGAAAAAACACATGTGATATTATTTAAGAAAATTCATTATGTTTTATTGGTGCTATTTACAAAAATTCTCCTTCTATATTTGATACGGAGTAATTTTTTTAATATTTTATATGGTTAATTTAAAATAAGGGTATTAGGATTTTATTTTACTAAATAAAATAAGCACAAGTATATTACTCTGTAGTACTCTCTCTCTGTCTAACAATTAACTTCTCATTGTACATTATGATGTTTGACTGAAATTATATTCAAATTATTTTATATAAAAATAGTTAAAAATTTAAAAAATATATATATATTAAAAAACTATATTAAAAATTCAACAAAACTATTTTATATCATTTTAAAAAATAAATAATGAAAATAAAAACAAAATATATAAAGCTTGACAGAAAATAATTTACATACTACGGAGTATTAGAGATGCTAACCGCCAATAAAGTTTTGGTAGGGACTGTGTGTAGCATTTTCCGGTGGAAGTAGCCGTAGAAAGTTTGGCCAATTGAGAACAAGTCAAGAAGAAGATCCACAACACACTGTAATCCAATTCATTGTTTCTGTCGATTTTGGGATTTCAGATTCCCCATCGCCGGCGCCGGCGATGCCACTCCGCCACCGTAGTTTCCCGGCAGTTGAAATCTTGAGTTTTCTTTGTTCTTCTTCTTCTTCCATTGGGTGGTGGTAATCTCTTAGAGATGGGTGGGTGCACGGCGTCGAAGCTGGACAACGAGGACACAGTCCGGCAGTGCAAGGACCGGTGCCGGCTGATGAAGGGGGCGGTGTACGCCCGCCACCAGTTGGCCGCCGCCCACGCCGACTACTGCCGCTCGCTCCGAGTCACCGGCTCCGCCCTCGTCTCCTTCTCCAAGGGAGAATCTTTCTCTGTCTCCGACCAGACCCCCGCCGTGTTCCTCCGTACGCCTTCTTCAGCATCCACCAGAACCCCTCCGCCGCCGCCGCCCGTGCGCATCCCATCCCCGTCTCCGTCGATTCGCACACCCCACCCTCCGCCGGCGGCGCAGCAGCAGCACTTCGCCCGATCCCCTGCTCCCTCCGTCGCCCGCTCCATCCCCTCCCAGCGCCACCAGCAGCTCCAGCTGCCGCAGCCTCGCCGGAAAAAACCCACCATGAAACTCCCACACATCCTCTCCGATTCCAGCTATCCCACCACCCCAACACCCAGCAATTTCTTCGAAAAATCATACGCCGGCGGCGGCGGCGGCGGGATTTCTCCCTCCCAAGCTTCCTCCGTCTGGAACTGGGAAAATCTCGAGCCTCCTCCACCTCCGCCCTCCGAATACTTCGATCAGCTCCACCAAAACCGGGACTCGCCTGACGGCAAGTCATCTTTGAAGCAATATGACTTCTTCGACAATCAGAGTGTAATAAATGACGAAAATGCCTCTGTTCACTCTTCCTATTCTCATCACTCTAACCCGGGGTATTTTCGTGATCGAGATCAGAATTTGCAGAACAATCGTTTTCATCCCCAGAATCTGCGTAAACTCCATGATCAAGATCCGATTTTGCACGAACCCAAACATCTCCAGCACAGGAGTGAATCGGGGAGGGAAGTTCTGAAATACCCCAGAGAGGATTTCCACAATGAAGATGAGATTTTGCAGAGTAATCGTTTTCATCCCCAGAATCTGCGCAAACTCCATGATCAATATCAAGATCCGATTTTGCAGAAACCCAATCATCTCCAGCACCGGAGTGAATCGGGGAGGGAGGAAGTGAAATACCCCAAAAGGAATTTCCACAGCCAAGACGAGATTTCACAGAATCATCGTTTTCATCCCCAGAATCTGCGCAAACTCCATGATCAAGATCCGATTTTGCAGAACCCCAATCATCTCCTGCACAGGAGTGAATCGGGGAGGGAAGAAGTGAAATACCCCAAGAGGAATTTCCACAGTCAAGACGAGATTTCACAGAATCATCTCCAAGAAAACAGTGGTTCGGAGAGCGATTCAGAAACGGAAGAAGAAGAAGAAGATTTACATCAAGATCCGATTTTGCAGAATCATCGTCGGCGCCATCAAAGGGGCGGTTTTCATAATCAAGATCCGACTTTGCAGAATCATGGTCGCCGTCCTCATCCCCTCCATCAAAGGGGCGATCGGGAAAGCGAGACAGAAAGGGAAGAGTTACATTACTCCAAGAGAGATTTCCATAATCAAGATCCGATTTTGCGGCACCATCCCGGAATGAGAAAAGGAGAAAGTGAAGCGGAGAGGGAAGAGTTGCAGTGCAGTGAATACGAAGATCACGACCATTACAGCACTTCCAGCTCCGGCTCCACAGATCCTGGAGAAGAAGAAGAAGAAGAAGAAGATGGGGAAGATCTGAGATCAGAAACCGGGTCAGCCCATTCCAAGAACTGGCCCGGCTCCGCTTCAGCTGCTAGTGCGAGGCCAAATTCCAGACACCATCATTACCAGTATTACTCATCATCAGTTCATAAACAGGGCAGGGAGGAAATGGGATCAGATGAGAACAGAATGGTGGTGAGGCATGAAGATCTGTCTGAGATTGCAGAAGCTGTGAAGTCGTACTTTGACGAGGCTGCCCAATCTGGGGACCGGGTTTGCGACATTCTTGAGGCAGGCCGCGAACAGCTCGATCGCAACTTCAAGCAGCTCAAGAGTGAGTTCTCTCTGCTCTCCCTGTGTTTCCACTTTGATTCTTATGGAAAACAGTTTTTATTGTTTGTGTTTGAAAAGGAAAAGAAGAAGAATTAAGACATTTTCTATTGTCTATTGATGTGAACAAGTGAGTTTTAAGACCAAATTTGGGTGGAAAAAATTTTGCAGAGACAGTGTATCATTCAAGTGGGAAAATGAGCAGGTTGAGCTCTTTGTGGAGTTCAAAGCCTCCATTGGCTATAAAGTATAAGCTTGAGCCTCCTCCTCCTCTCTCACTCAATCATTCTTCTTCTGCCACTCCTAAAAGCCTCTGTTCTACCTTGGACAGTCTTTTAGCTTGGGAAAAGAAACTCTATAGGGAAGTCAAGGTACCTTCTTCTTCTTCTTCTTCTTCTTCTTCTTCTTCTTCTTCTTCTTCTTCTTCTTTAATCCTATTTTTTGGGCTTATGGTTATGATTTCAGGCACGAGAGAGGGCGAAAATCGAGCACGAAAGAAAACTGGCAACGCTTCAAAGCCTGGAATACAGAGGGGGAGACGTGGGAAAGGTGGACAAGACGAAGGCCGCCATTAACAGACTGCAATCCTTAATAGTGGTCACCTCTCAAGCTGTCACCGCTACCTCTTCTTCTATTGTGGGTCTCAGAGAGGCTGATCTTGTCCCTCAGCTTGTTGAACTCTGCCATGGGTATGTGTTTTTTTGGCATTAAACTTTGGTAACCTGATGTTTTTTAGGGAGTAAATAGGAATGTTGACACTATAAAATGCTATAATTTGGTATTAGTTTTGTGGGTGGGGTTCCCATGACATTGGAATCCCATGTCATGGAATGACCCGGGGGCGCTCCGGCGCCCTGTTCGTAAAATTGACGGTTCCTATCCCCCTAACCCTCTCGGTAAACCCCCCAGCCAGCCCCGACCCGAACACACATCCTCCACCCCCTTCAATTGCACCCCACAAGTTGATTTTGACTTTGGAGTCATTTCGGATCGGAGCTGGCTGGGGGGTTTACCGACGGGGTTAGGGGGGTAGAAACCGTCAATTTACGAACAGGGTGCCGGAGCGCCCCCCGGGTCCGCCCCCTAGTTTTGTTGGCATTATGTAAGATTCAAGTATATATGTGCAAATGCAGATTCAAGTATATGTGGGAATCAATGAATCGGGTCCACGGTGCCCAAAACGACGTCGTCACGCAAGTTAGGGGCCTCGTCGACCAGGCGGCACGCCAGCCGACGTCGGACCCACACCGCCAGTCAACGCGCGACCTCGAGTCCGCAGTGTCCGCGTGGCACTCCGCCTTCTCCCGCGTCCTGAAGTTCCAAAGGGACTTCGTCCGCTCCCTCCACGGCTGGTTCAAACTCTCCCTCCTCCCCGTCGACGGCGGCGCTCCCGAACCCCCGGCCGCGGCGGCCCCCACCGAGGCGTTGGTCTTCTGCGACGAGTGGAAGCTCGCCCTCGACCGGGTCCCAGACACGGTCGCCTCGGAGGCCCTCAAGAGCTTCATAAACGTCGTCCACTCCATATCGGCCAAGCAGGCCGAGGAGGCGAAGATCAAGAAGCGGACCGATTCGGTCGCCAAGGAGATGGAGAAGAGGGAGGACAACATCAGGAATCTCGAGAGGAAGTTCTACTCCTCCCAGTCCTCCGCGGGCCTTGACCGTTCGGGCAGTGTGGGGCCCGCGGACGGACCGGGACTCGCGCTGGATGCGCGGGACCCGCTCGCCGAGAAGAAGGCCGAGCTCCAGACGTTGCGGAGGCGCGTGGAGGACGAGATGGTGAAGCACGTGAGGGCGGTCGAGGTGACGCGGGCGATGACGTTGAATAACATTCAGACGGGTTTGCCCCCGGTGTTCCAGGCCATGACTAGTTTTTCTGCCTTGTTTACCGAAGCTCTTGAGGTTGTTTGCAAACGTTCTTATTCCATTAATATGTTTGATTAAAAGAAAATATATAGTAGTGTCAAATTCTATACATATATATGTTTTGTTTTTTGTGTTTTGGGCACTTTTGCTTCTCATTTTGATCTGTAGATAATTTGAGTTTTGCCACACTTAGAGATTGGTTACATATCTCTGTACAGAAATTTGCTTCTTTTCCTTTTTTGTTTAAATAAATGTATCACATGCATACCAACTTTCTTTTAATGGGATGAATTTTCATTTGGAGTGTTTCTCCTTTTTATTTGGTTAATGTCTAAAATGAGTAAATAGGATGGGTCAACCATCCTTTTAGAAACGTTTTTGGAGTGTGTCAAAGATTATATGTAACTCTATCGCAGTAAGGTCATGTATTACAGCGAGATTTGATGGGATATCACGTAGGTGTTCCGTAAGTGGCGGATATGAACATCAACATTCAAAAGTTAATCCACAAAATATTTCCTCATTTTTTCGTGGATCTTATGTGTAGGCTTTGCTTTCTTTTATTTTTTTTAATAATTTAAGTAATTTTTAACTTCAGCTCAAAAATCTTTCAAGCACTCCAAAATATGCCCATAGGTTACCCTCATCAAATATTTATATAATATGTATTTAAAAATAAATAGTGGGAAGTACTGGTGCTTTACGAAGTAATCATCAGCTGCATTGCCTAGGTTTTTGGAAGCACTTAGTGTTAGATATCTGATTGGAGGATGAGCGCTGCGAAGCAAAGTTGACAGAATATCTTTAACGAAGAAACAGATGAATTACTTGATAGTTTACAGAATCACGAAAACGTTTCAGATCAAAGTTGTTTTGGGTATACCAAAATACTTGAATCGGATAAGACGGTAATAAAAAATAAGCTTCGAGAATTCGTGTCTCAAACATACTTGCGAGTCTCTATTTATATATAGAGACGAAAAATCTACGATCAGACATGATTGTTCGCGTAAGATTGTAAGCGCTCGCGCGGAAGGGATGGAACCGAATGTTTGCTTAAGGACGCAAACATTCGTGCGAATTTACTTTCGGTTTTTGGGTCAATTTTGATGTGTATCCGTACGTCCAAATTTTTTAAGTTTTGTGGGTCAATTTCGACCCCGCCAGGGTCTGCCGCCCCTTGGACCCCGCTACCGGGTATGCTGCCCCCGGACCCTGCTATGAATTCATAATATTGTTGAATGAGTGCGAACTCCGCACCTCCTAACTCCTTTGACAACGTTTATTCAAATTTTTGTCTGATCTAAGTAAACTCAATCACATAAAATAACTAATGACACTAAAATCACCAACACTTAGCCTTGTTGCTTTAATAAGAACCGTCCGTTACTTATCAAAATGTCCAAGTTTAAAGTGGCAAATTCGTTGTCGTTGAAATTAAAAAGAAAGAATGGTCGTCAACCATTATGTGTCACGACTTTTGAGAAAAAAGAGTACTCAAAAAATGAGTGACCAAAGCTATGAGTCATTTCTAGTCCACAACTTGACCTCACCAATTTTAGACTTATTTTTCATATATTTGCAACTTCAGTATTTTAGAATAAAAATTCTCTTGTTTCTTAAATGTTGAGTTGAAAAAAAAATGAATGTTGCCTGAACCAAAAGTCCAAAATTAATGTAGATTCCGAACTAGTTTGGGCTTTAGTAATAGTGCGTTCTTTATTTGTCCATTTACGCTTATATTTAGTGATTGGGCTTGGAATCCAACCCAATATACGGATCACTCTTTATCGGAATATCACTCGATTGAAATGTCAAAAATAACTATAGAGAAATGTGAAACTTTTTTTTTGTAGAACGGAAAGAGCATTAACTTAAATAACGCTAAAACTATCGTAGAATAACATTTTTAAAATGTTAAAGCTAAACGCTAAAGTCAACTTGACTCCATATTTTAAGAGAAACAAATCCAAGAGCTAATTATTATGGATACAAAACACCAAGTTAAAGTTGTGTAAGTTCACCACCTAATCATAATAATAACATAGATTAGCATACAAATCATCATCATCAACTTAGTTCTATCATAACTCATCACAAAAAAAAAAGGAGCTTATCCATTTCATACCTAATAAACATCTGAACCCCAAGAACCAATGAGCCCTACATAATAAGGTAGGGAACCCATTCCCTACTGCTAAAACAACCCACATTCATGAAATTTACCTTCTAATGAAATGCAGTGGTTAAAAAAAACCATACTATGCTAGAAGAACTCGAAGTCGAGAAATTTACCATCGGGCATCATGTCTACTGCCCCTACCATTCCTTGAGTGCCATTCGCAACGGGAACAAGCTCAACCTGCTGCCCGGCTTTCAACACGGGCAGCTCGACCTCAACAGGTTTTGGTATTTCGGGGGGTGTGCTGCAACGGATCAATGCCCAGTTAATGCCATCAAAGAAGGGATGTTGCTTGATCTCGGCTGCCCCTCTCTTTACCCCTAACCGGCTCTGAGGCTCTTTGACTAGTAACCCGCGGATCAGATCACGTGCTGCGTGACTAGTTGTGGGCGAATCGGGGAACTTCAGCTGCTGCCCGACTACGTTGAAAAGAGTTGCCCGGTTTCCAGACCCTTTGAATGGAGTTTTACCGTAGAGTAACTCGTGCAAGAATATACCAAACGTCCACCAATCCACTGCATTACCATGGCCTTCTCCCTTGATTATTTCGGGCGCCAAATACTCGTGGGTCCCAACGAATGACATGGACCGCACCGAAGTAGGCTCGGCGACTAGCTCGGGCAGGGTCTTGCTGGATGGTAGCCCAAGGTCAGCTCGAAGTCTGTGGGGTCGTCTCTTGCTTTTCTGAGGGAAGATACGTGGAAGGAAGCATGCTGGTTGAATGCAGGAGGGCTGGACACAGAAGGAAGCACCTTGTTTGGATGGGTCAGAAAAGGTTTTCACGAGTGTGGGAGAAACTGCACATCTTAGTGAAAGATCGAAATCTGAAAGCATAATGTGACCATCGTCTCGCACCAAAACGTTTTCTGGTTTCAAGTCTCTGTACACAACTCCCAGCATGTGAAGATACTCAAGTGCCAATAAAACTTCTGCTGCATAAAACCTGTTTCATCCATCATGAAAGAAAAAACACCAAATTATGAATGGACCAATGCTAAAGATACCAAATATTATAAACTATGCTTGCAGCACTAGAAATGGTAGTGAAAAGGGGGAAGTCCTAAGGTATATACATAGTAGTCTTCCTCATTACATTTGTTTTCGTTTGGGGAAACCATTGGTGTTGCTAAATCCACCCTCAAAATGGCTATATCCACTACATCTTTTACCTAATTTTGCTAAATTCACACTCATTAGTATAAATTTGATATTAGTGTGGTTAAAGCAAAATTAGGTGAGAGATGTGGAGATAGACATTTCGAGGATGTATTTAGCATCACCCACAAACCAAATGAGACTAAACTTTATAATTTTTTGCATATATTTATGAGCACTCCATCTCAAATAAGGTTCTCGGATTAACCCAGAAAGCTTGTGTAGTTGTGATTTATCTAGAGAAAAGAAAAATATTACAATGAACGGACAATCTTTTTTTCCTTCTTTTTATACAAGCAGGAGAGGAAAACAGACCTTGCAGCATACTCAGAGAAGTGTTTTCCAGGCTGGCGTTGACGCAGAGCATGAAGATCTCCTCCGGGACAAAACTCCATGACCAAACAATAAAACCTATCTGTTTCAAAGTGAGTGTACAAAGTTGGCAGGAACGGGTGATCCAACAGTTGCAGTATCTCTCTCTCAGTTTGAGCACGGTTCAACTTCTTCCTGCTCTCAAGTGACGCCTTATCCATCACTTTCATAGCAAAGGCACAGTAGGTCCCACACAGCTCGGACAGATAAACGCTGCCAATGTCCCCACACCCCAATCTCCTATGCAGCTTAAAGTGGCTCATCCCCAAACCACCATCGCGTGCCCGAACTGCAAGTATAGCGTTCCATCTCGGATCATTCCCTTTGTGAGGCTTATTGGCTGTTCCAGTGGCATTGCTCCAGTTACTCTCATCACTTAGCTCACTGCTATTGCTTGCTCTGCTAATGCTAGACTGCACACTCTCAAGCGAATCAAAGTTCCGGTCTATACTCAGCATGCCATCACTCATCATCCCATCACTCTTATATGTGCTTGTGCCACTATTCACAATGCTCATTGTGCAGCTACTGAGAGGACTCACATTTCCGCTGGGGGGCAAGGAAGCGTCCCAAACACATTCTCTATCTTCAGACTCATGTGCCAGGCTGGCTTCTGTGTTTTGGGACGGTCTGGGGATCGCAAAAACAGCTGAGAATCTACCTAGATCGTTTGACTCTTCAAGAATGGGCGGGGTTGGTTTAATGTTAGGAACCCTGATTGAGAGTCTCATGAGGTCTGTATCAACTGGTTCGGCGGGGTGGGTGGCCCCACGGAACGATGAAGAGTTGCTGTCCTCGTATGAATCACCACTTTTCTTATATGACAAACCAACATCAAGGGTAACATCGTCTTCGTCTTCTTGGCAATAAACCATCCCCTTCCATGCCTGAAGAGGTCCACTTAAGTCGAGATCTTGATATCCCCGCGAATTGGGTTTGGTCAATTTAGCCTCGGAAGGTAACAGCGCGGGAAGTGGAGCCACCTTAGCCTCTAAGGGTAACTGTCTTGAAAGTGGTTTTGATTCCGGAATCGGGAAAGTATTCATCACCTTAGCCTCTAATGGAAACTGTCTTGGAAATGGTTTAGTTTCTGGACCCCTTTGCATTTAAGGCAACAAATATATCATCCAAAGAAGACTTCTCCTGCTACAAAAATATCAAGAAAAAAACAAGATTACTCTCAAGTCCCAAACTCAGTTACACAAATACATAACATCATATTTCAATGTCTCCTTCATGGACATGAAAAACATGCAATGAACAATCAATAAAAGCAATTTGCAGGTACCAAAGAGACTGAATGGAACTCCCATAGCTAATACAGTCTGTACTTCAACACTAGATAAATACAGAGCAGTGAAAGAGATTATTCCCCAGTCAAAGGGTCAGTCCAAATTGACCCACCTAGGCCCCACTTTTTGCTCCAGTCCTGCTAGCCCTTTTTAGAACATTGAACAAAACAAGGAAGCAATGACCAGAGAATGAACATCAAATAACTTCCAATCTTAACAATCAACATATGCCAAACAATCCAGAAATAAGAACATCTTGGAATTTTTCTCAAATAGAAAAAAAAAACATACCATAAATTCACCAGAAAAACACTCCTCCCATTCTCAAACACACAGAGAGGCAAAAGGCAAAAAAATG